ATTGGCTAAGGGGGGGTGGGGGAGGGGTGGGCTGTAAGCTCCATGGAGGCAGGCGCTGTGTCTTCACCCCCTTGGGGCCCCGGGACCCCAGCGCTGTGCCTCTGGATGCCGCAAATACTCAATATGCGCTGTCGAGTGACTACGTGAACGGCTGTATCTCAAAGTAATAAAGGAAGTGGCATTTTTTTCCAAGTCCTTGATCCTCCAGGCTCTTTTTTCATTTATTTGCTTTCTCCCACATCTCCCTATCCAGATCAGGACAAATAAGGAAGGTGTAGCCGTGCACTCACCTTCTCCACGAAGCCCCCAGGCTCCACCCCACCCACCCAGCTGTTCTCAACCTCATTCGGCTTTTGGGGATGGCGCATGCTCACGAACGAGTTCCCAGGCATGAAAGTTAGTGCCCAGTGAGAGCAGGCTCTCCACCCCCCAATCTTTACCTCTGGCCTGGCCAGTCCCAGGTGGGCGTCCAGCTCCCCTTCCCAGCCTCACTCAGGTTTGTAAACAAAGTCCTAAGGCCTGTGAAGAGGCTTCTCCCCAGACTTTGAACACCTCGTGTCAGGGTGCTTCGTCCTCCTTTCCTGGCCACCCCCAAGCCACCCTTCACTCAGCAACCTGGGTGAGCTTTATGAAACACACATTGCAGTGGCTCCCAGGACACTGAAAATAAATGCCAATTGACTTCCTTGCTTCTGGAGCTCTAGCCACACTGGCCCTGTGGCAGCTCCTAGGTCAGGCCAAGCTCGTTCTCACCGCAGGACCTTTGCACTTGCTGTGCCTTCTATCAGGAATGCCCTCCCTACCCCCAAACATGTCTGTCTGGCTTCTTTTTAGCTTATAGATCTCTGCTTAGATTTCGTCTCCTATGAGAAACCTCATAGCCATCCTGCCCTCCATTATTCCCATCATTCTATGTCACATTATCTTACTTCCTTCACCGCTCATCCCCAGTTGTAAATATTTTTCCTTACCATTCTAAACATGTTTTATAGTCTGTCTCTACTCACCTCCTACATCGTAAACCTCGCAAGAGCAGGTCTGATTATGTCTTGTTCACTATTTTACCCCAGCACTGGCCCTTGCTCCATTCCTTGTGATAAATGCATGAGGTGCAAATGGTGGGGGAGGGCTCAGAGGCCTGACTTGCTCCTTCTTAGTTCATCCAACCGCAGGAATCACTACAGCAAAAGAATACCAGAGTTCCCGCCACAAACTCATCCACCCCACATATATTTACAAATCCTCCACAATGTGTGTGAGTGGTGGGCTGGGGGCTGGGGAGACAGTGGCGAAGACATCAGATCCAGTGTTTGTCCTCATGGGACGTCCAGCGGAGTCGGGGAGGCAGGCTTTGAACACCTAGGGTCAGGGCAGTCAGTGTGTGAGGAGAAGTACACTGGGGTGTCTGACCCAGTGTGGGCAGTCAGGACTGGCTTCCTGGAGGAGGCGCCCTTTAAGCTGAACCTGAAAGGATATGTAAGGCCTTGGCAAAGAGGGGTGGGCAAGGTGTGCGGGGAGAGGGAACACACTTCACCCAAAGTAGGGCCAGCGAGACTTGTCTGCTGCTCCTCACGACATCCTGAGCAGATGGAATCGGACAAGGGACTGCAGAGGGCTTTGGGAAACGGACGAACAGGGGCGGCCGAAGGCTCACTGTGACCAAGGAGGTCACGGCCGCTGTCTGGGGACAGCCACATTCTGCAGGGACCAATGAGTTTTGCCCGCACAATCATCCCCTCTGTGGTGGGGTTCATCCATGCTCTTGTACCTGAGCTCCGCCTGGCGGAACAAGGGAATGGGGCTTGCGAGGGTAGGTATGGAGGACAGAGGTATGCAGGCGGCCAGGGTGTGGGACTGTCACCCATATCATACCTCCCCACTGAGGAGGCCCTGGAGAAGCAAACCCTGCGGCAGAGATGGGGGAGCAAGTAGTTTATTTGGGAGGGTGTCTCAGGAGCTGGAAGGGGAGCGGAGAAGGAGCAGGAAGGGAAGGAAGCCCCCACGGGTGCATCATGGGGGTTACGCTGGGGAGGCTGCCCAGCCTCAGTCCTGCTGGGGAACTGAGGGGGGAGGGAACAGTGGCGCGCATGCATCTGAGTTGTCCCACATGAAGGGCGATGGGGCTGGGGGTTTCATGCAACACCTCCCATCATCGGCCAAGGCTGCTCCTGGGACGTCAACTGCCTGGTACTTTGGCTGCAAAAGCCTGCCACGCCCCTCTCATCCCTGCCATGGGTGGCTCTTCCCTGTCCTGGCAGGTCCCTGCGCAATCTTCCTTTCCAAGGAGGCCCTGCCTGACCACAGTCTAAATGGCACCCCAGCCCCTCGGTCGTTCCTGGCACTGCAGCCTGCTTGCCCGCTCATTACACGATCGCCATTTGAATTCTCATCTTTGTGGAACATGTAATGACATAGTTACTTAGGTTTTGCTTGCCTGGTTTACTGTCTCTCCCCACAAGCTTGTAGAGCCCTGCCTTTCGTGTTCTTGCTGGATCCCGGCACCTTGCATCACGCTAGGCTCCTAGGGGGGCCCGGTTAAATACCCTTTAAGAATAAAGTATTGCCGATTTCAGCCTGGCCGTTCTGGGTTCTGAGGCTCAGAACTAGAAAGGCCTTTGATAGATGGGGACTCAGGTCACGAACTGGGCTGCCACACCTGTACCCTCACCCTGGGGCAGACGCCCTGCCGCCCCACCCGATGCCCATCCCTCCAGGAACCCCACCAGCGGGAGAAAAAGCTCTGGGAGTCCCTCGGGTTCCTCTCGGCTGCCGGGAAGCTGCTCTCTGCCAATTCCTGGTAATCTTCTCAGCCTCCTTCTCTCCCCACTTTCCCCAGCTGAAGAGGAAGCGGCTCAGACAGCTGCGGAGCTGGGACTCTCTCTAGTTGAGATGCATTAATTTGTAAATATCTTCATTTATATGCAAATGTGGAGTCCCGCACCCTGCTGCCAGCCCTACTGAGGCCGGGCAGCCTCGAGAAGCAGCCCCTTCCAGCACGGCTGCTCGCTGCTGGGGTGCGATCGGATTAGACTCTCAGAGGCTCTGCGCCTCTTCCCCTTCCGCTGTGGCCGCCTCATGGCCGGCCGCTCTCCCTGGTTCTGTCTGCCTGGGAGACCACCACTGAAGCAGGGGCTCAGGGAGCAAGTCGGGCAAGCACACTGGCTACGAGTCAGTGTTGCTTTGTGACCTTGGGCGAGTCCCCTCCCAAGGCTTCTGGGGGCGATTCGAATCTTCATTTGCTGCAAAATTGTCTGTGGTTCCCAGAATAGTTATTTTCTTCTCCAAAATGAGGTTGTTTTTTTTTTTGGTTTTACCTCCGTTTTCGTCTTGATTGCCATTGGCTGGTCTTAGGTGTGCTTTAATATTTTAAGGCCCCCCAAGTCCTCTTTAGAAGTGGGTTCAGGAGAAATCATAGATGAGTGAAGGCATCTGCGCGGCCACTCGCACACCTCTTTAGAGCCCCCTTGGCATTCACATTCTCACCAGATTCCCCCCAGCAAGCGGCTGGGTCTGCGCTCCTGGCGCAAAGCCCAGAAAGGAGGGGAACCCGGAAAAGTTCTCCAGGGGAGCACACCCACCTTCCGTTCTTACAAAAGTGGGCAAAGAAGGGCCGCCAGCCAGGTTGCTATGTGGGGCTGGGAGCGCTCTTCGCAGTTGTCTGGTCCTATTTTCTAATTTCACCCATGGGGAAACTGAGGCTCAAGGGGCCAGGGAGCGTACCCAGGATCATCCACTCAATGTGCAAATTTTGTCGTGCACCTACTGTGTGCCAGGCCTTGTGCTGAGAGCTGAGGGTACAAGGTGAAGGGGGAAGCACCTGCTCTGTCTCCTGATAGTCACAGAGAAGGACCGACCTGTGTGTGGCGAGGGCCGCCTCATCCTCCTGGAGGGTCACACACAGGCACCAAGTGGGAATGTTACAGGCACCCCACAAAGCACAGGGCATGCCAGCGCGTGTCTGCTGCAGCAGCTCCCACGTGCCCAGGGCAGCTCGGTCATCCTCAAGCCTTTCTGCCGAGGCACCAAGCAAAGTTGTGTAGTGTGAAAAAAGCATGCAAGAGTGTGTGCGCGTGTGCATGCGTGTGTGTGTGTGTGTGTGTGTGTATACACAAAATTGTGCGTGTTCAGGGCCTGTGTGAAGCTACTCTTTATCAATGCAGTGAGAGTCCCTTTTGTGTGGGGGTTGGGTACTAAAGGAGTGGCAGCCACCAGCTTTGGGGGAGGTCGGTTCTGTTGGGGTGAGGGATGTCTAAAGAAGGTGTTCCATGGGAGGGCCTGCTTGAGTTGGGTTCTGAAGGCTGATGAGGAGTTTGTCAGGTGACCAAAGGGAGACAAGCACTCCGGGAAGGGGGCCCAATGAGAGTAAAGGGCAGAGGAATAAAATGGAATTGGGGGCTTTAAGGGAGGGCATGGGGGCCACAGGCCCCCATACACGTAGGACATAGCAGGGCCTGGAATGGGATCTGCTACCTTAAAGTCTTCTGGAAAAGGGGAGGGATAGAAATATTAAGTCTCTCCATCTCCCAGGGCTGTTTCCTTCCCATGCTGACTTGCTTGTTTAGGGCCTGTTTTCCTTGCCAGGCTTGGGGCCTTTATGACCTGGGAGCCCATGGAGAACATGCTGCCTGGGCTTCTGAGTCAGGAAGAGCTGGCTTACATCCCAGCTCTGGCATCCTGGCTGTGTGACTGTAAGCACATTGCTCACCCTCTCTGGACCTCAGTGTCCTCACCTGGGAACAAGGTTTGGAAAACCCTCCTCACAGGACTGTTGGGGGGCACTGGCTGGGGAGGCCATTGTCAAGGGTCTGCTCCGTGGGTCAGAGCTCTGACTGGACCCCATGCTGCTGCTTCCCTCCAGGAGTGGGTCCCGCTTCTGCAGCAGAGCCCCTAGCCTTCCCTCCCAAGCCCATGGAGGGCGATCCTGAGAAGCCGGTAAGCGCACAGCAGGGTGGACGTGGAAGGGCGGGAGGAGTGGCCCTCCCGGTCCCCAGGCCTCTTACCTCACGGTGGACTGGTACACCAGGTCCTCTCTCTTGCGGTAGCTCTCCATGTGCGAGTAGTTGGTGGAGAACATGGCATCGAAGGTAAAGATCTTCTGCTTGATGGTGCCGCCATCCATCACCTGCAACAGAGCACAGAGGCAGCCACAGGTGAGTGTTCAGCCAGCCCTGGCCACACCTTTCCTCCAGGCAGTGAATGGGCTCCTAGGATGCTGGGGAGATAGATGCAGGAACCAGGAAGCCCACTGCCCTGGTGCCCCTGAAGGAGCCTGTGGTGGGAGGTGTCACAGCTGTCACCAGAACCCTCCCAGGTTATCCCTGTTTTATTGATGTGCAAACTGAGGCTCTGAAGTGACTTCTTGAGCTCCTACAGCTAAGAAGGAGCAGATGGCTCTTCTTTGTCTCTTTCTATTGCACCAGGGGATCCCACTTCCGTGACCCCACTGATGGGCTTTGCAGAAATGACAAGCAAAGCTGGGGAGCTGCACACGGAGCCAGAAGGTGTGAATATGTTTTGCAGAGTCAGCCACAGAGTGATCCCAAACCTGTCTCTGCCCGAGAAGAGACAGAATGTGGAAGCAGACCAGACAGAGAAGAGGGGACCTGGGGGAGAGAGGCAGTCATCCGTGCAAAGATCTCATGGGGAGACAAACAAGCTACGTTGCAATAATTACTGATAAACTGTGCCAGGGGTGGAGCCAGAATGGGAGGGGAGCCCAGAGGAGGGGCAGGCCCCATCCTGGGCAAGAGATGTTTAAGTTGCCTTGTGTGGCAGAAAGGGAATGGAGTGAAAAGGCACGTGTGCCAGATCATGGAGGCCAAGGAGCTCAGTCGAAGCGGGTACGTCTGGAGCGAGCGTACCCTGGGGCAGGCGGAGGAGAACCCAATCTACTGACATGGGAGATGGAGAGAACAGGGCAACGTGGGGGACTCACTCTGCTCTGGCCACCATTGGGACAGGCCAGATGGCCCCCATTTCAGCTAGGAACATGGAGGCCCAGAGAAGTCAGGGGACCCAGGAGCTGACAATAAAGCCTGAGCTGGAAGACAAGGCTGCTCAGGTGCCTAGCTGTTCACAGCTGATTAAAAGCCGGACCCAAGTGTCCTGGGCTCCCAGCTGCCAGCCCGCCTGCGTCCCCAAAGCCCACATCCCCAGGTCCGTGCTGCCTCCGGCTAATGAAAGTGTTACTCCACAAAGCAGCAAGGTATGTGTTGTCACTGTTTCAATTATTTATCTGTTTACTCGGCTGCAGTTTTCCGCTTGTCTCAGCAACTCTATTATAGACTGAAAGCTTGCAGCCTCTCGCCACTCAGCTGGGCTCCGGGCTAACAGCCTGCGACGGGAGGCCTCATGCCTGGGCCTGGAGAAGTGGAATTAACTCCCTGTGGCTCTGTGCGTGGAGGCTGCAGAGAGGGGTCTGGAGGGTGGTGGCCAAGGGCGGGGTTTCTCCAAGGGACTGGGGCAAGGGGATGCTGAAAGCCACTTCCCCTGCCCACCTTTGCTGAGCATTGAGCTTGGATGTCACCCTCCTGGGAGGACTGGCCTGGGTGCAGCTGGGCTCCTCTGGGCACATCTGGACCCAAGGTGACTTGGACCACATCTGTCTGACCTCGGTGGTATTGCGACTGATTTAGGGGACACAGATGCAATCTAATCCAGCCAGCATTTACTGAACGCTAGCTGTGTGTCAGGCGTGGACCACATCAGTCTGGGTCACCACCCCCCAGAACGCAAGCTCATCAAAAACCAGGAGGCCTCTGTCGGTACCGGGGTCCGCAGGGAGCCCTGGTTATCCGGGGTTAGAATGATGATAACAAGTTCACAAGCTCTGGACCCTGAGGGGGATCTGAGGTCCCACCCTGGCTAAGCTCACAACGCTGTGTCCCCTCTTCTGGGGTTACCTGCAGTTCACTTGGGTTCTGGGGGCTTTGTGCTTTTTGGACTGTGCACGCGTGTAGTCAGAAGGCAAGGCACCATGTCCTCTCGTCCTCTCACCTGTCTCCTCTGCAAGACCGGGACCACTTCCCAAATAGGGGACAAGGCGAAGAGGGACGACGAGGAGGAGCAAAGTGCCTTTAAATGAGAGCCCGTAACTGAGGCACATTTGGCAACGCTGGAGCCATTTTTGGTTGTCACAACTAGGGGAGGGGTACCGGTCTCTAGCAGTAAAGACCAGGGATGCTGTGACTATCCTACAATGCACACAGCCCCCTTCTCCCCCACCCCCAAGAATGATCTGGCCTGAAACATCAACAGTGCTGAGGTGAGAAATCTGCTTTAAGCCCATCGCTTAAAGTGAGTATGCTAGACCAGGGGTTGGCAAACTGTGGCTCTTTGGGTACATTCCATCTCAAAAGTTTGCCGACCCCTGGAAGAGCCAGTCCTGTCCCTCACAACAATTTAAAAACTATTCGAGAGCCATAAGTATATTTTTACATAATCACCATTATGTGAATAATGCCCTTTTAAAATTTTATGAATGAAACTATGATAGTTTTATTTTCATTTTCAATTTTACTTCAGAGCCACAGTTCGTGAGCTGCACGCAGTTTGCTGACCCCTGGGGTCTCTTTTGTCTCAAAAGCTTGCTGACCCCTGGACTAGACAGTAATTTTCCAATTTTGCAGATGAAACAACTGAGGCTCAGAGAGGCAAAGTGATTCAGCTGAGGCCCCACAAGGGGTTCTTGGCACAGCTTTGGTTCCCAGCCCAGGGTTCACATCCCATCCACTAGGCTGAAAAACCGCTGTGAGTGAATTCACCACCTCTCTGCCCCGTCTCTGCCCCAGATGTGGCTCCTTAAGACAGAGGATGCCAAAGCCCAGGTGAGGTATGAGTTTTCTTCCTAAGCCATGATCGTGGGAGGCGTCCTGCCCGTTTCACTTGCTGCCTCGCCTCCCTTCAGGTATTGCCTTTTTATCTCCTCCTAAAATGCGGCAACCCTTATCCCAATCTCAAATTTCATCCTTTTTTTTCTTTTATTGTACAAAGGAGAAAAAAAATCTGTCAGTAAAACTGTCTCCTCGAATTTATTCGCTGGGACTAAGGGTTTTATTACCAGGAAAATACACCCGTACCCCACACTTACACACACACATGCCCACACACCCCAGATAAGGCACCGAAGAATTATCTGAGTCGTAAATCCCTGTTTCGGCCGAGGGAGGGACAGGGGAGTTTCAAGGACGCACCTAGTTTTCCTTTGGTTTTATTTACATCTTTTTCTCCGGGGCTGTCCCTGGGGCCTCACTGTCAGCCTGGAGAATAAATAACTGCTTCTGTTAAACTGGTCTCAGGCAGTGGAGACAGCTCTTAATTCCATTCTAGCTGTGACATCCACCATCCCAGCTCACTGGAGCGGTTCTCGGACCTCCCTCAGGCTCAGGGAAGGTGCAGCACAGGGATAGCCTCGGAATTCACACTTGGTCCTGCGTCAGTGGGCGAGTGGCTATTTGCAAGGAGGTTATTCTGTAGTTCCTGGCAGTTAGAGCCCCTCAACCAGATAGGAGCTGGGTGGGGGTGCGGAGTTATTACTGGCTGAAGGGCAGAAGGCATGGTGTTGGGTTGAGAGGATGCTACAAGACACCTTCCCTTTAATTCTGGGAACATTTCCCCAGACCTAAGACATCCAGCCACAGTCCTAGGCCCCAGGGGAGAGAAAGAAATGAATTTCAGACATGGTCACAGACCATGATGAGCTTATTCAGTCTGGTGTGGTCTACACCGGCCACAATGAAATGAGAGACCAGAGTCAGGAAGACCATGGTTGACACAACAGGTTATCAGACCAGTGTTATCGGATGCCCTTGGAGAAGCCAAGAATTCCTTTGGAAGGAGGGCTGATCACAGAAGGCTTCCTGGAGGAGGTGGCCCTCCTCAGGGCGTGCTCAGTCCCAGGCTGGCTCTCCCTGACTATGGGAGGCTTTTGAGCAAGAAGCAGGACTGATTTCCTCAACCCTCAGTTGAATTCATAACTTCTGTTACTTCGTGCTCTTGAATAAATCATCTCACCTCTCCAAGTCTCGGTTTCCTCATCTGTAAGGTAGAGATGATGCAACCTACCTCTTTGTGAGGATTAAACAAGATGAGAGCACCTGGCATGTAGTATTCGCTCAACAGAGACAGCGATTTTTACGCAAGCTTACACTTTTCTGTGCCACCTCTTTTTCTGTGTCCCTTCCCACCTTCCAGGCCTGGAACTGTAGGGCAGAATATCTTTTACAAAAAAGCTAGATGAGGCAGAACATCAGTAAATGAAAGCAGGGGGCCCATACCTGGGGAAGGTGGGCGGGCAGGTGGCAGGGGCCAGGAACCTTCTAGTAGTCATTCTATCAGCCCAGAGAGGGAGCTCAAGGAGGTTCTAGCAAGTATCTGGAAGGGAGGCTGGTCCCAGGGGCTCCAAGACTCTCCCCCAGTGCCACAGTGGGGTGGGATCACCAGGTCAGGGCAGACAAAGGATGGCTACCTGGGTGCAGCCCTGGAAAGCCAAGGCCCCAGGAGGTGGGTTTTCCCTTCCCCAGAGGGAGATGAGCTTATGTGTTCATTCATTCATTCAAAAGACTTTTATTGAATCAAATAAGCTCTTGAATGTGAGCTATTCCTAGAATATAATTTTCGAAGGCAGGGTCTTTTTCTGTCCTTCCTGTGCGTTGACTGTTCTGTCCCCAGAGTTGGGCCTATGGTACTCACTCAATAAATATATGTTGAAAGAGTGAACGAACAAACAAACGAATGAATAAATGAATGAGTTGCGTCCTTACCATGTGCCAGGCCCTGGGGATACCATGAGAACTGGGAGAACACTCGTGCTGCTGGACTTGCACCAGGACAGCCTGCTGCCCCCACACCCCGACCTGGCCCAGCCAGGAAGGTGGCCCAGGCCGTCCACATGGCGATGCTCTAAAAGGAACCAAATTAACCTGAGTTGTTCTTTCTCAGAGGTCCCAGCTTAATGCTGTCCACTGTCGGGAAGCATCCTAATCATGCAAAGGGCACGCCTGGACCAGAGAGAAGAGGCTGTGCACGTGGTCATGCTAGAGAATCGAGTCCTAACTGGCGTCTACATGGGCTTGACTGTGTACATGAGCCCTGCCTCCATTATGTCATTGGGATCCCAAAGAC